AAGACTGCTAAAAGAGAAAAAAATGGAGCGGGGGGGTCACAGGTTTATCCCACTGTGGGTGGTCTGGGGCAGCTTGTGCCTGAAAAAGGGGGTACACGGGGGGGTGAAGAGGGGGGGTAACACTTGTGATGGAGGAGGAGGAGGAAGAGGAAGGTGTCCCAGGGGATGCCAGTGCCTTCCAGGAACCGACTGCAGGTGTGGGGCATGGAGCCCCCTCTGGCACCCGCAGCCCCCCCCTGGTGAAGACAAATCCCAGGCCAGATCCGGGTGCCCAAATCAGTGGAGCCCTACCTTCAGGTTTATTGAGGGGGGGGCCTGGCAAAAACTCCAGGGAGGAAGGCCACAGCTCTTCCTCAGCCACCCAACACACCGGGCTCCGTCCTGCACTGCCTCCGAAAAAAAAAACCCAAACCCCAAAAAACTCTCGCTCCTCCCTGCTCCGGTTCCTTTGGCTGCAGCAGCACATGGGGGTTTGGTTTTGGGGTTTGGTTGGGTTTTTTTTTTTTATTTAAAAAGCTTAAGAAAGGTCTCCAGGAGATGGTGAGTTTTAGGTTTTATTTCTGTCTTGTCTGGATAGAGGTTTGGTTTTTTAATTCTCCAAATGATCCCACGGCGGCGGCTGGTTGGGAGACGGCGCAAGGGCCCAGAGGTTTTATTCGGCGCATTCTTCATCGTCGCCATCATCTTCGCCATCTACTGACAGAGCAGCGTACTTGCTGGCATGGCTGAACTGCGGGCAGGGAGGGGGGGGAGCCCCGTTACGCACAAGCGAAGCTGCTCACACCTCCCTCGCCTTAGCACGTGCAGAAAAAACCCCAAAGCGGACCCAAAAAAACCCAAAGCGGACCCAAAAAAAAAAAACCCCAAACCAGGACACGAGGGGAGCCAACTCCAGCACCGCTGGGAGCCCGATCCAGGTCTCGAATCCCACCCCGAGGGCCCAGCACTCCCCCCCCAGGTGCTTACGGAGGGGGGGTTCTCGTCAAGTTTCTTTGGCTCAGATGCAGGTCGCGAGTCGTGATCCTTCCTGCTCTCTTTCCTGCAAGAGCCAGAGGCCGGTTAGTCGGAGACCAGATCCAAACCCCGACCCCATGGTGCCCAGAGGGAGGGCAGGGGATGGCGACGCGGCGATTCCCAAACCGGGGGGGCAACACGGCGACCCCTCCGGAGCCCGACAGCTGCTGCGGGGAGAGCCCGGGGTCACCCACCTATCTGAATCTCCAGGGCCACGGCTGGAGCTCCCGCTTCGGACCTTGGAACCGCTCTCCCGTCCCCCATCAGGTTTGTTCTCCTCCCGGGGGGGGGGGGGGAGAAGAAAAAGGCCGTGAGGTCTCGCAGGCAGCCCCCCACCACATGACGGCCGCTGGAGGGTGTTGGGACCACTCCTTCGGCCGGGCTCTGCGCCCCTTCCCCACAAGGGGGACGGTTTTGGGAGCTGCGTTTGCAGAGATTCGAGTTGCGAAACGGCAGCTCCTCCAGCCGGGAGCGGTTCGCATTGGGTGAAACCCCAGTCTCACCTTTCCTGTGGGCGTTCTTCGGGGGTGCCCCATCTTCCAAGGGCAGGCCTGGTGCCGTCTGGCTGCCGCTGTGGAGAGAAAAATAAAAAAAAAAAAAAAGATGATGATGATGAACAAGATCAAGACCTTGAGAAGATGATCCCAATGCCATGGAGCAGGGAGAGCCGTTTACTGCCTGGGGAGACAGAATCTGATCCCTGGATCTGGATCTCCCACCCTCCTGGCAGGGGGCAAATCCGGAGGGCAAAGGCCCTGGACATCCCCCCCCCAGTCCCCGGCATGGCACCAACCTCGTAGGAGAGTGCTGCTCCGAATCTGAGCTCTGCGAGCGGGCAGGGGGGTTGCTGCTCCGCTTCACCCAGGCGTTCTCCTTGGGCGGTGGCGCCGGCATCACCTTCAGGGGCTGCTTCTCCTCCTTCGGCTTGGAGCTGGGAGAAGGGGCATCATCCTCTTTGGTGAACGTCTCGTTCTCCAAAGACTTCTCGCTCTCCCTCCTTCGCGTGGCTGCAGGGGAGACACGAACGAACATAGGGTCACAGGCTAAGCTGCAAGAGGGGGGACGAGCGACAAGCCGGGGCCCCCACAGCTCTCTACTTACTCCTGCCCGTCGGGCCGGTTCCCACAGAGGTGCCAGGGGGCCCCGAGTTGCCGGTCTGCGAGGACTCGCTCCCCGTCCGCGATCGCTCCTGGTTCTCTTCGCTTCGCCAGCTGGGATGCCTGTGCGGGAGGGGAAAGAGGGCTGATCGGGGTGCTCGGCGAGGGAAGAGGATTAGTGAGTGGGTTTAGAGCACCCCGAGGAGCGCTATCAGCACTGCTGCCAAGAGGAAAGGTCAAGGGGGAAGAGAGGGCCACTGCCAGTGTGACTTTGTGCTCCTCGGGCTGTCCGAGGGGCCACGCCGCAGCCTGGACATCCCCCAGGTGCCAGGCTGGCACCGGCCAAGGTTTTAAGCCCAACAGCCCACTGCTGCCAGGCAGCCCGAAGGCCCTGCCCCAGCCTCCTCTGGCCCCAGCCCACCTCTCTCGGGGTCGTCTTTCTATCCTCTTATCATCCTCCAGCTGGCGTTGCAGCTTCTCTTGCTCCTTCTGCAGCCGCTCTTCCACCTCCCGCTCCCTGGCAGCCGTGTCCACCGGTTTGGCCCCCCCAAAGATGGAGGCAGCCCGGCTGGACTGGGGCGCAGGGGCCACGGAGGTCTCCTCCTCCTTGGGTGCACTCCGGGGCTTCAGATTCAGCTTCGGCCTCTGGGTGGGACCTGGGAAGGAGCAGAGACACCTCGAGCGAGCACGGATCCCACCCCGAACGAGCATGGATCCCTCCCCAAGCTGCTCTCAGCGCGGATCCCACCCCAACAAAGCCGTTACCTCTGTCCTCGCGGCGGAAATCATCCCGGCCGTAATCGTCCCGGGAGTTCCACCTATCCATCCGGTCATCCCGCCGGTCATAGCGGTCTTCGTAGCGGTCACCACAGCCTCGGTAGTCATCATCCCGGCGATACCCGCTGCCAAAGGCCCTCCTGCCGCTGCCTATCCTGGAATCGTAGCCTGCAGGAGTAAAGGAAACCCTTCCCGGTGAGTCCTGATCCCTCCCTGGCCGGCGGGGCACAGAGCAGGAAGCCTTCCTGCAGGCCAGCGTCTTCTTCACCCAAGGACCTTAAAATCTGGGCCAGACCGGGGCTCTGGTAAGGACCAGGGCAAGGCCAGGGATCAAAAGTTGCCTGGAGAGGGAGAGCAACGGCTCATCATCCCACACGCCTTCCCCAGGTATGGGAGGGGAACCAGGCCATGCTGGGCAGCTCGTCTGCCGTGGCAGAGTCTCACCCTCACCCTCTCCGCCCTGGCAATCCCTCAGGACCATCCTACCTCGGTCATAGTCTCTGCTGCGGTCATCGTAGCGATCCCTGCCCCCAAAGCCACGGTCCATATCCCTCCGCGGACCATCACGATACCGATCATCGTAGCGATCCCGATACCCTGGAGGCAGGAGAAGGGGGGTCCGGCGTGAGCGGGGCACATCCTTCTACCCCGAACGCTCAGGTGACAGACACCAGCAAGGATTTTCCTGCGCTCGTTACTGTGGCAGAGTCACAAATCCCTTTGGGAAGTGGGAAAACCTCACGACCGTTCTCAGGACGGGAGACGGCACTGACCCACTTGCCCTTACAATAACCTAGCTGGGGAATGAGCTCTGGGTGGCCGCCCTGTCACCGTCTGATCACAGACAGGGCAGAAAAAAGCACACCTGGATGTCCAGGTAACGCAGAGTTTCAGGGAAAACAACAGAAAGGAGGAAAAACTATCCATATGGAAAGACGTGGCAGATTCAGCTCTGGGCTACAGATGCAGGGGAATCAACCACCAAGTCCTGTGGGAAATCTGCTGGCCCAAGGGAGAAGCAGAGGGAAGCCACAGCCCAACTCCTTTGTCCTTGTTCAGATCGCCTCAGCCACCCTTCCAGGACAGCAACGGAAGGATCACACGTATTTTCCTGCCAACTCACTGTCTCCGAAGCTGTCGTCACCCCTGCGGGGCGGGTAATCATCAAAGCTATCGGTGGTGGCAGGACGGGCCCTCCAGTCACTCTCGAACCTCTCGGAGTCACGGAAGCGATCCCGATCTCTGCCAAAGCAGCGATCGTCCCGATCTGCCAGAGAAGGGAAGGCAATTTCAGCTCCCAGGGATGAGAGCAGCTGTCAGCGGCGAACCGAGCGGGAGCACAGCCCAGCCTCTCCGAGTTCACTGCTCTCTATCAGCAGGAGACACCGACGCTTTGAAAAGCCCTTGGCTGAGGCAATTAGCGCGGCAGGGACAGTATGGGGGCGTGGGAGGAACCAACGCAGCGTTATTAGATAAGTGTCGGCAGGCAAAACATCTGGAGCGGGGCTCAGACCTGGTGGTCTGCGTCGTGACGACAGCGATTTGTCCCTCCTTAGCATGGCTCACCACCAACCCGGCACAAGACGTGGTTACCGAGACAGGCGACGGGAAGATCAAGAGGCAGCAGATACTCACCTTTATCCTGAGCTTGATCAGCAACATCCACTCGTATTCTTCTGTTCCCTAGAGACTGAAAACGACAGCGAGAAGTCAGCCCTGCGGCCTGCAGACGTTCAGAGGGGCGAGAGGAGCTGATCCCGGGATGATGCCTGAGCACAGAACAGGCAGCCTGTGCCACATGGGGCTCCTCCCGGGACCCTGATGGCCTTAAAAAGCACTTTCTTCCCCATTTAAGTCTCTCGCAAGCAGGGACAGCCATCATTCTACAAGATGGAACCTCTTAATGCATCTCTAGCACCCAGGGCTGCCCAGGAACGCACCGGATCTGACTGGGGACAGGGTGTTCGGGGGCTGGCATGCACCAGCCCTGCTCCGTTGGGGACTGGGACTCACCTCTTCATTGAGGCTCAGGGCCTGGAACAAGGACTCTATGTCTTCAAACTCAGCATAACCAAAACCTTTCAACCTCTCCGGATTGGTAGGCTCTCGCGGCAAACGCACAGCACTTATCTGCAGTCAGAGAGAAGAGGAAAGCTCTCGTTAGGACTCTTGCTCCCCGATGTTAATACGACGGGCAAGGAATGAGATATCCGAGACCGCAACTCATGACTCTCAAGGGACGGAATGAATAAATCCTCTTGGTGACAAGCAGGGACACTCAACTCCCCCTTCAAACGCACCACAGGTTCCCACTAAAAGCGCCTCCGACGCTTGTTTGGAGGGAGGAATTTGGCACGGGCAAGAGGTTTCCAGCTGCAGATCTCCAGTAGCTGCAGCTGGAACCGATCCGCAGGGCCAGGAGAGCTCTGCTCAGCGGGTGATAGCTGCCCCGTGCCCCACGAACGAGGCTCCAACCCCGTGGCCACCGGCTCCTCGAGCCAGCAGGAGCCATCCCTTTGCCTCCCACCCGCTTTCAGAGCTCGGCCCAGGCTCCTGAGAAAAAACCCTGTTGAGTTTTGGACCTGTTCAACCGAGACCCTCCATGTTCAACACGAGCCCTCTGGCTGCAGGGACAGCTTGCTGGCTTTGCCAGTTTATATCCACCGCGTGTTCTATGTACACCTCCGGTGAGGACTCGGAGCCTTCGGCATCGCCTCCAGGCTCCCTCCGACCTCCCCCTGCACTAACACCTTCTACAACCTCTCCTTGCCAGACTGAGGTTCCCAAATCGTGGCGGCTCCCAGGTGACTCCCTGCTCAGAGCCCCGGGAAGCGGCAGCAGCCTGCGGAGCTCACGATGTGCCGGCAAAAGGGGAAGGCGCAAACTGCCTTCAGCCGAGCCGCATGGGACCAGCGCCGGGAGAGGCTGGGAAGGGAGAATGAGCAACGGATGGGAAGCAAGTGACTTCTGCAGGGGGTGAGGGCCACCATCGGGCTCTGCTTCTTGCTCTCCTGCGTAGCACTGACCCCTCTGCCTAGATTTGGCCGGGGCTGCAGCCTCTCAGCTCCCTCCTCCTCCTCTACGGGAGCTGCACCCACGCTATTACTCTCCGAGGAGGAGCGGATGCTGCCTCAGCGGGTGCGAGAGGTTAGAAAAACAAGCTGAAAATAAAAGATCAAGGTAAGCAGCGTGGCTCTGCCCACAAGGAGCGATCTGCTGCCATCAGCACAGCTCGCTGTCGCGCGGGGAATGCCGGACTCCAGCTGCATTTCCCAGGCTGACCTTCCGGGAGGGAAGCGGCCATTTCCCATCGCCGCTTGCTGTCCCGCCTTCGCTCTCCCCGCCTCCTCCCTGAATAACCCAAGGGCTCCAACGTTCTTAAAGCGGGGAAAAAAATAATATTGTCATGGCAGTCGCAGGCTCCCCAGGAGCGTCTCCTGTTCTCAGCCACGGGGCAGGACATCTCCTGAGCGAGCTCCGGCTGGGAAACCCCTTGAGAGGGCCAGACTCAGCACAAGCCGAAGCGCAGCCCAGCAGCAAAGTCCATGGCACCCCCATGAAATTGTATTTAAGAAAGGGCAGAAAATGCCAGACGGGCAGAGGAGGAGGGGAAAAGAAGAGTGAGAAACAGCAGAAGGAAGGCCAAGTTCATCGTCAGCAGCGCTCCAGGTGCTGGAGCAGGGAATAGCAAGTCTATTTTAATTAGTAATAAATTTCCTTTTCCCCAAATCGAGTCTAATTTGCCTGTGACTAATTGGTAAGTGATCTCCTTGCCTTTATTTTGACCCACAAACTTTCTCGTCCTATTTCCTCCCCCTGTCTCACTGAGGGGGAGCGAGTGAGCAGCTGGGTGGGCATTTGGCACCAGCTGTGCACCCTAAATCACCCCGAGATCCAGCCCAACCTCCTCTCTTTGCCCGGTTCAGCAGGAGAAGCACCAGCCACCTGCTTTAAAAGGGTTCTCGCTCCGTCACTGTCGTGGCTGAAACAGCAGGAACGCCTGTTTGCTTGCTGGCAGTCAAGCGACTCACCTGAGATTAAGCAATCCGACAGCCACGGCCGTCTGGAAACCGCCCCTCACAGCCAGCTCCGGACACAGACATACCTGCAGGAGCCGGGAGCTGCCTCAGCTGATCCGCAGCGAAGCAGGAACCAACACACGGAGCCAGCAGAGCGCAAACGGGGATTGCAGCCTCCAAAAATCACGGTCTTTACGGCCCATGTTACCCCCAGCACTGCCCTGCCCCGCCGCCCAGACTGGGCTCTGAGCTGTTACTCACATTGAGTCCTCTGAAGAAGTCCTTGATGGATTCTTCCGTCACGTCGTAGGGCAGGTTTCCCAGAAAGGCGGTGTAGGGGGGGGATTTCGGGAGGCGGCTTCTGTCTATGTTGGGTTCCCGAGCAGCCCGCGGGGCGGTGGGCAGGATGGAGCGGTCGATCGGAGGGGCCCGGTACACGTCATCATCGTTACTGTGCCAAGTGGTGGAAACTAAAGAGAGAAATTTGGCAAATCACCCAAAAACCCCACCCAACTAGGGACCAGTTACTGCCAACGCCATGGTCCTCGCCGCAGGGTGCCAAGAGCGGCCTTACTGCTGAGGAGCTGCACGTTAAAGCCCTGAAATTCATCCCGCCGAGCTCTTTGACCCAGCACAAAAGCAGCTGCCCCAAAGGCACCAGCAGCCCCCAAGGAGAAACCGAGGCAGGCTAGAACGGCAAAGGAGAGCTGCCATTTAGTCCCGCGACCCGTTTAATAAAGCACTAAGCCTTCCTGGGATTAATTCCTGTCTGAATTACAGCCCGTCTCGTGGAAAAATACCGTGGCTCGATATTAATATTTTCAGAGGGAAAAATGCCTTGCCGCTGCCGAGCTGGAGGTCACCGCGCTCACCGGTGAACTCCCAGGCTTTGGTGAATCTGCACACCCTCTGCCCGCTCTGCTCTGGCGCTGCTGCTGGCCAACAGAAAGCTCTTTATCCCATTTCTGTTCCCGGCGTCGGTGCAAATCCCCCTCCCCTTCACCAGACCGCGTGTCTCGGTCCTAGTGAGAACTCGGTTTGCCCTCCGAGCCCTAATTACCCCCCAGAAAAGAAACAACCAGCAAATTTCACAACGTTTGGGCGTGTTGTTCTGGGTCACTGGCTGTTCCGAGCGTACGGCCAAACCTGGCCCTGCGGTTACCAACACTTCCCGTGCGGTCCCCCCACTCCTCCACCCCACAGCGGTGTAAGAAGGGGAAGGATCGGACAAACTGCCTCCGCATCCCTCACAGCCCAGAAGCAGAGCGCTTCTTTCTTGAACGCCACAGAATTCTGGTATCGGCGTTCTACCGATCTGCGAGCTGGGCAAGGACAGTACCGTCGCCTTCCAGGTCGTCTGTCTCATCGGCCCAGCTGACGGGTTTGGGGATGTAGGTCGGGCCGCCGCCGCCGCCACCATCCTCTGCCAGAAAGTCCGTCAGAGTGAGGGTCTTGCCCTTCTTGTTCTTCTTCTTAGCTGTTGGGGAGAGAAAAGAGAGGAGGGGGGGAGTGAGTGACGCCCAGGACCAGCCTGGTTTCGGAAGGGAGGGGAAGGAGGAGCAGTCCGGGCGATGGAGACGCAACACGAGCCATCGAGGCGCCAGCCACCCCATCCCAGTTCACGTTCTATTCCCAAAGGGATGACAGCCACAAATTCAGCACAGCCGAGAATCAAGGCTCCTACCGCTCGAAGCACGCTCACGCTTCACGTTCTGAGGGTCAGCCGTACCCACAAACCTCCCTGGGGGCTCTTTATTTTGGGGGAGGAGGCGGCGGCAGAGGGAGAAGCCATCCCACTTCCACCCCGGCCACATGCAAGAGACACGTTGGAGCACAGCACGGCGATCCCGCAGCCGCTGGGATCCCTCCGGAGCCAGAAGCCGGCCGGCCTTGCCGACATCTTAACAAATCTCCCAGCTTCTCCGGCTCGGGGATTTTTATTTGGCTCTGCCGGAGCTGCGAGCGGCCGCAGTGCTTATTTGTCAAGGCTTCGCTGTCTCCTGACGAAGCCGGGCGTCGCGACAGGCTGCGACACCTCCCAGCAGTGCCAGGGAAGCCAGGCTATTTTTAGGAAGGCGGGTTATGATGCAGTTTGCAAAATTCAGCAGGTTTTTTTTTTTTTTTTTGCTTGCGGAAGGAATTGCTGCCCCCCTGCGGCACCGGCGGCCGGAGCAGCGACCGATGGCACCTTTACCTGCAAAAACATTTCCTGGCAGAGCACCGGGGGCTCAGACACCCCCAGTGACTTGGGGGACCCCCCTCCCCAAGGTTTTTAAGCTGCACTTCAGCCCTCACCTCCCCCGGAGAAAGAAAAGCTGGGCTGCTTCAAGAGATACTAGAGTGACAGCAATGCGAAAGCACTAATTGCCTTTGAAAACACGCGTTCTTATCTTTGTTAAAAAGAAATAATAAACTTTGGGACTGCCGGACTTCACGCAGATTATCTCTTACGAGGCTCCTGGCTGGGGAGTGTGATAATTAACCATGGAAGCGTCACAGCAGCCTTAACAAAGATAAGAATGACAGACGCGGGAGTTTCACAGGCTACTCGTTTGCCGTCTCTAATTAGCCAAAGCTCGCCTGCTGCTGCTCAGAGCTGAGGGATCGCTCGCCCAACGGCGCTTAAAATGGTTTCTTCCACAGAAATCCCCGCACCAGCATCGATGTAACAACCACCAGCATTTTCCAGCAGGGAAAGAAGAGGGCGAGAGGCTCCAGGCATGGACCACCTGCCCGTGTGCGACGCCAGGCCCCTGTCCTGCTTCCCGGCCCCACCGAATCCTCGTTTTTGGCGTCCTGCTCTTCTCCTTTGGTCTCAGCCCGGGTTTTTTAGGGCAGCGTGAAACCGTACCCCTCTCTTTCATCCAGGCGCTGGGCAGATGGAGCCATCCTGCCCTCCTGAGCTCCCTCCCAGCACCTTTGACACCACCGGGAGCTCCTGGCTCCCACCAGCGAGCCAGGACCGATGCTCTGGCCGTTCCCCAACGCTCTGGCCAGACCTTCGTTCCCAACGTCCATCAAGACCCCAGAAGGGATGGAGAGAAGAGCTGAGCCTAAAACCGACCCTCTACCCTGCAGGTTGGCGGCACCACATCCAGTCCCACTCCCACCCTTCCCCTCCCTGCAACCACCGGAGCTGCCTGGGCTGTGCCCGCACCGGTCAAGGGAGAGTTCTCGGGGCCAGGAGGGAACCCGACGGCAGCTCGGACCCTTATTTTTAGCCCCCCCCGCACATCCATTCCCCCAGGCTCAGGGGTCTCCGTCCCCCATCACCGTCTCCTTGAGCCCGCAGCCTCCCCAGGCAGCCATCGCTCCTCGCCGACGTCTCCGGGCCGGCTCGGGTCCTCCAGCTGCGCTCCATCCCTGTGGCCAGCCCACGGCTCCGCTCCAGGTGATTTCGGTAAAGCCGTGACAGCTGAGCGACACGGAACGGCACCGGTGACAACGGGGAGACGCGTGGCGGCCGCTCACCCCAGAGATAGACCTCGGCAGCGCTGGGTTCCCTCCTCGCATCTCCGGCCGCTTCCCGATCCCACAGGAATCCCAGCCTCGGCTTTGAGGCTGGGGGTGACTGGAAACGCTTCCCCCAGGAGCCCAAACAGACACGGAGCCCCCCTGGGGGGGGGGGTGTCACCCCATGACACCCACACCTCTCACCCCCTGCCAAGCTCCATGCTGGTGCCGGTACCAGCAAAATGGTTTCTGACCCCCCTGGGAGAGCAAGCAGCACCCCGAGGACCCTGCCCAGAGAGGGGTCCCATCCTGACCTGGGGGGGGGGTGATGCCTTCCAGCCCCCCAGCGCTGTACCTGGGAGGGTGACGAGCTCCCGGCGCTGCTCAGGGGTCTTGCCAACCCCCAGTGGCCCCCCCCCCGGGCTTTCACCGCCAGCCACAAATGTCTCTAGGCCAACCCCCCCACCAAATTTTGCTGTTTTTTGGGGGGATGGCAAGTCTTTCTGATCTACCCGTTGGCAAAGGCCAGAGGCCGTAAATCCGGCCAGGCCTTTGGAGCGACTCGAGCTGCGTTTGCCAAGGGGAAAACTCATGGAAAGATGACGTCAGCGCCGGATAAAAACGCCGGGAGAGCAGCGGTGACCGCTGGGAAAAAAAAAAAAAAAAAAAAACACACGAAGGGGGGACGGTTTTCTGCCGGAGCCGAGCGCCGTTCCTGGGGAACCGGGAGACCGCCCGGCACGTCCCACCGATGTCAGATCCGCTGCCGAGCAGCCGCCGGCCTCTTCCGAAAACCGTCCGCCCCAGTTTTGCTCCGGCCACGTCGAAGGGGTCACCGGGGCCGGGGAAGGAGCCCGTCGGCGCGGAGCAGCGTCTGTCGCAGGATGATGGCGCGGCTCTGCCCGCCGACACCGCAGCGGGGGGGGTGTAAAAAAACCAACCCCAACAACCCCCCACCCGGGCAGAAAACGCCCCTTCCCGCTGGTTTTCACCCCGCTGAGGGGTGGTTGAGCCCCCCCCCGGGGGGGGCCCCGGGGCGGGGGGGGGGGGGGGGGGTCCACGGTCACCCTGTGCCAGGCTGGG